GGCCAATCAACTCAATTACACAAAATTGTTTTCGTACAACATGGCCGGCGATGGATGCCATGCAATCTCTCTGAGGGATGGTCTCTCTCTCTCTCTTTGACCTCGCTCTTCTCTGTCTCTAAGGCTTCATGTCTCTCTGAATACCCTCGACGCACACTCAACCTAGCTAGGCTTTTGTCATTATTTGCAAAGTAGTCACGCCGACGGTCAGCGACCCTGGATTGGTCGGGGGCCGACCAGCCGACCATTCCGCTGGTCGGCACCTACCGGTCGGGAGTCGGTCGGCACCCCGCCCAAAAAAAAAAAAAAAAAAAAAAGCTCCAGAACCCCAAATAACCCCATCAACACCCCCATTGCCCCCCACAGCCCCCCACAACACCCCCATATGGGCCCCCCAACACCCCCATATGCCCCCCCCAACACCCGCATATGCCCTCCCAAACACCCCCATACCGCCCACCAACACCCTCATACCCCCCCCCCCCCCAATCCCCAAAAAGTTTCTCAGCGGATTTGGGCTGTACTGAGATAGTGCAGTAGAGCCCTGAACTCAGATTTGAAAAAAAAAAACAGTGGATGGCCCTCTAACAGACTGCTAGCCGACGACCTACGGTCGGCGTCAACCGTCGGCGGTCTGATAACCCTTTTTCTTTTTTTCTTTTTTTCTTTTCTTTTGCGGTCTGATAACCCTCATTATTTGTCATGATGAATGATTGTGCAGTGCATTCTGGAGCATGAAAAACAGGTAAGATGTGGATATCCCACCTGCAAACAAGAAGCAACAGGCTAGGCATGGAGGGAGGGAGCAAGGGAGGTGAGGGTGGAGTGAGCTATCTGCATCTGCATGTGTCCATGTAAAGTGCCCTTCAGATCCCTTTTTCTGCTCGTCAGTCAGCTTCGTATTAGAATGGACTCTCGCCCTGTTGCCGCCGAATCACATGATTGGCCCCTGATTTGCTGACATTTTAAAGTGTTGGCGCTCTGCTGACGTGATTCAGTGGCAGTGCAGGTTCAGCAGGTGCTGCGCCGCCTGTTTCCTTTTGGCCGTGGATTATGCCATGCCTACTGGGCACCGAACGCCTGGGCAATCTACAACGTGGCTGATAAGGCGTTAACCGTTCTGCTTCCGATGGTTGGAATCCCGGTTAGCAAGCAACATGCATCAATGACAGGAGGACTCGTTGGAGATTCTGCTGGGCACGTCGTTCTCCCACAGGTGAGTTAAGAAACCAAAAATGAAAAACTATAAAAAAAGCCGCTTTTCTTCTTCTTCATCTCTCCCCCCCCCCCCCCTCTAGCCTCTCTCTCTCTCTCTCTCTCTCTCTCTCTCTCTCTCTTACAAAGGCGCTCTTCGTCGGCAGCTTTGTGACGATTTATGTGCGGTGAATGATTGTTCTATTTATCTACTATCTTATTTCCATCACAATACTTGTTGTTCTCTGTTCCAGTTATATCCCTTCCCAAGTCCCCCTTGTTTGTCCTCCTGTCCTCTCTCCCTGTATTATCTGTTCATGTCCATCTCAACTTCCCTAAGCAGATGTATCCAATAACAGCTGAATGGTAGCATCTACTGTAAGAAGAGGGAACTCCCTCTCAAATCCTCATAATGGACTGTTAATCACCACAACAAAAAGTTTTTTGCCTCACAGGCTATAACCCCACCCTCGGTTGAGCTTGATGGACCCTTATTGCTCCTGCTTGACAGGGAATAAATAGGTTAGGACAGCAGTTGGGATCTGTCAGTGTCAGACCAGACAAGGCTGGACTAAAGTGTGCCGGCCTAACCAATTTCCTGAGACTGGTTGTGGTGGTGATCCCGGGGGGGGAGGGGAAGGGGTTGAGTGGTCCCGGCCAATGGTCGGTCAGGCTAACCGCTATAAATGAATCATTAGAGATTTGCCCATCATTCCTCATTTTGATGTGAAAGTTTTATGCCATCTGCAAGAGCATTGTCCCATCGTCCCGGTGGACTGAGCATTAGCTGATCGGGACAGAGCATTACATAATCTATCTAGCTCCCTTGAATAGTCCCAGAGCCCAGAGTCACACCTATCTACTCCCGCCTTTGGTCCAACCTACTCCCCCACCTTTCCACCATCTCCCGCCCGTTCGAGTCTTGTCCTGATGTCCTCAACTGCCATCTGGCCCGTCAATCCAGGTCCAGGTGAGGCCACCCCACTGGGGACAGACTCATGGAGATACACACCCTTACCTTTACTATGTTGTTCTTAAACCACCACCAGTACTTGGCCCAGCTATGGGCCGCTGAAAAAAAAAAAGAATAGAAACGTTTCTAGTCCGATGAATCTGGGCGCTCCTGTAGTAGCCCGTACGTTTCCTAAAATCGTTTGGCTTGTTTACGGGCACGACTCTAGGAAGTACTGCAGTGGTTTAAGCCACCACCAGTACACGCCTTATATTGGCAGCGGGCTGCTTTCAGATGCTGAAACGCGACAAAGGCCGCCAATTGGATTTATCAACGGTGGCCCTGGCCCGACTTTTTGGATGGGCGGCGAGGCTGGGGCTGTGTACTGACTGGTGGTTAAAACTTAAATGCTCATAAGTTCTCTCTTGGTCTTCACACTTCTCAGCACTGTGTATGGAGGGGCAGAGTAGTCTTTCTGTTTCCTACTGCTCTTGCACTTTTCCAGTTGTATGGCACTTTTCCTGATTCCATTGGGATTCGAACTTGTGGTCTGTTTTCCAACAGTCCCATTGTGGACCTTTTTGCCATTAAGCTACATGGGCTCGGTGGCATTTCCTAATGACGGTGTTAGTGCATATTGCAGCGCTTGTGTTCATGGGTATGGCGGCAAGAGCCTGAAGTACCAAGAAAGATCGCACACTTTGGCCGTCGATGATGTGTTGTTATTGAACTTATTGTCCTATTTCTACTGAGAATCAAGTAAATACTAAATGGACACTGACGGAATTGTTTGGTTGGGTTAGATCGTTATTCGCAATCTTCGTTCCTCTCTGCAGAGGTCGTTTTGTGTGTGTTCCTCGTCTTCTGAACGCAATTTTATCATGCTGGATTTGAGGTGTTGATCTGTCTATGAAGTAGTATGAACAGTTACAAGGTGGGTATTTCAGCTTCAGTTCTTGGGAGCTTTTGACTGTGAAATGAACACGGAAAGGTTGTTGTCTTGTGCTGTCTGGCGCCATGAGCTTTGGCAGAAGACTGCTAAATGCGGTGAGGGCATGAGGAGCCTGACAAAATGCAGAAGCTTGCATCTTGCTGTGAGAATGAGCAGTCCATGTTTTGGGATAGGTAGGGCCCTCAATAATGATGAGCTGTGGCAGGAGATTGTGGACAGATGTGAGGAATCTGACGATGGTGGAGACCATCGGAGAGAGCATCACGATTCAGGATAGGAAAAGCATTGCAGGCTGGCTTTCTGTGCAAATTGGAATCTCTATGGGGCTTATGTTTTCGGTTCTTTTTTTTTTTTTTTTTTTTTTTTTAATTAAAGCTGCCTTCCCTGCATAGTGTAGAGTAGATAGATATAGCCTCCCCTTTTGCCACATAGACATAGCTTGCCTTTCGGTGAATAGACATGGAGTTCGTGTCTTAGGTATGTGGGTGGGATAGCGTAAAGTATGCAGGTAGCTAGTGCGAGAAAAGAGCTGTTCTTATGGTGTGGGTGGCCACAGTGCAGTAGGTTAGCTCAGCGAAAGTGATCGCTGGTTGTACATTTCCACTGACTTGCTGCTGCTCCTATGAACTGCAGATTCGTCCGCCGATGGCTATGGTCCTCACCCTAGTGGCGATGGTTCCCTGTTTGGTCAGAGCTTGGCGGCATCCTCGCCCAAGAGAGTTCATACGCTTGGTTGTGTATGCGAACCTCTGTGGATTCATGTTTGGGTGGCATGTGCATGAGAAAGCTGCACTTACTTTTGTCGTGCCCTTCTCACTCATCTCAACAAACTCAGCAGAGGAAGCTGGCGAATTCTTGTTCTTATCCACAGGTAGGTGCATGCCTTTTTTTGTTTTTGTTTTTGAAGTGAATTTGCAAAAAATCAAATATTAATTTCAACGAAGAGATTCAGCGATCATGCTGCACATTGCCTTAAAAAAAATAAAAAATAATAAAATAAAATAAAATGCTGGACCTTGCCTGGAAGACTTATTGCCACAGGTATCTGTCTTATCTGCTCAAATTTGCACTTTTTTTTTTTTTTTTTTTAAACCAAAGCCAAATCATTTCATTAATAGATTGAAAAACGAGGCCGGGGACCTCGCAATTCAACCCGGAGTTATCCTGGCAGCATTGCCCAGTTTCCCTTAGGGTGTGAAAACCGGTTTCCCAAAGCATCAGATGTGAAAACCGGTTTCCCAAAGCATGAAGACTTGATGATTAAAAGGACTGCCCAGTGCCAACTGATCTGCCCCTTTCTTTCTCCTTCTCTAGAGATACACAGTAACTTGCTGGGAGCATTGACCAGTTTCGCTTAAATTGGACTCTGAAGCTGGATCTCTCAGCTCTAAGGCTGGTACTGACACACTGCTGCCTCATGATCTGCTCACTTGCCTAACGCATCCATGGACCTCTCAGCTCTAAGGCTGGTACTGACACGCCTAACCGTGGATGCGCCTCACGCATCCACGGTTCGGACAAGCATTGTGGCAAACTACCCTCTTGCAAAGGCTGCATCCGTTGGCGCTGTGGATAATATGGAAGACAAGATGCGAAGAGACGATCGATGGTCAAAACAAAAACACTTCCATACAGGAGGCATGGGAGCACCTTACACAACTCCTGCGGACAGAGTACCAAGCTGACTAGCACCGAGCGGGTAAGAGGATCAAAGACAATCCCACAAAAAAGCTAGAGGGAAGTTGGGCAGCATAGAAGGCAGCACCTTACACAAAAATTCATCAAGGACCGTCTCGGGACAGGGAAGTTGGGCTGTATAGAAGGCAGCACCACGAGCTTCAGATGGAAGCTTGAGGGAGACCAACAAGGAGGAACTCACGCAGAGGCCCCCACCTCACTTGGGTCCGTGCGCTCGCAGGGTTACAGCAATGTCATAAACACAGCATGATTAGACAGGGCTCACGGTTTTAAGGCAAGACACAGGGTACAGGACAGCAGAACAGGGATGGGGTTAAGGGTTTAAGAGCACACTCAGGTAATGGGCCAGTAAGAAAAAATTAAAGAAAAGTGTGATGGGTTTAGGGTTTTAGGGGAACTGCACCAGTGGCAATCACCAGGGAAGAGAGCAGACAAATGGTAGCGGGAGAACGAGAGAATGGTAAGCAGTAGGTGATGAAAGACTGTTCATATATTAGCACTTTATCTGATCTGAACCTTTTGCAAGGAAAATAAGCAACAGCGAGATGACAATTCCAGATTACACCATCACATTGAAAGCCAGATAGTCACACCGTGTCCAGAGATCAGCATTGCACCAATAATACACCAATGGAGGTTCRTAGYAYTGAAAACCAATGTCATGGAGAGCATACTCTCTCCTCATCAACACAAGAGTCCAGTCCCTTCACTCTCCTACTTAGCGCTCAGCGCCCAGCCTACTCTTAACACAGCTACTACAGCCTACTAATTGACAATGCAACTGTTGACATCAGCAGCAACCCGAAGTACTTGAAGATGTTGCCCATGCAGACCATCGCCAGTACAAGGTAAGTGCCCTCACATCATCATCATCATCATCATCCTTCACCTATCCCCTGACTTTACACCCACGTCTGTCCTCTCTTACACCCGAAGACCACCCCTGCGCCTCACTGTAGTCCAAGCCCACCAGCTATGGTGGTTGGGCTATGGCGCTGCCCTTAGCAGCGCCCTTCTTCCCTGCACGACCTCACGTGCTGCACCTCGCCTCTCAGCGCCAGTCAGCAGCCGCGAGCTCTTGCTCCAGCAGCGCTGCCGCTAGCATGCCAGTGCCTGAATGAGGCTGCCAGGGGTGAGCTCTTTCCTTTATGGAAAGAGCTGGCCTGCTCGCGCAGCCTGGCTGCGCTGTCCTGGGCCCAGAAGCTTTCGGAAGACCCCATGAGGCTGCCTGTGTACAGCAGCTACTGGGCTGCTGGGCCTCGTTCGGTTGGGCGCCCAACTGTCTCTGTATGAGGCTGCGAATCACGCCCAGGGCCTGCATTCTTTGGAAAAGCCCGGAAGGCCGTGGAAATGTCT